ACTGGCAGGGTCTGTCTGTAGACGGAGTCTTTGTGGAACCAATCCCCTTAGAGAAATTATCTGAATTTCAAGAGAATTTCTACACATGTAATAATGTTACAGGCCTTTTTATGAATATTTTGCCCCTTTTCTGATATTTTTTATTGTTTGTGTGTAGAGAGAAGGGAGGGGGCGGAGTATGGGAGGCAGGGTCTTATTTCAACTGTGGGCTAAAAAGGCTGAAACTTCCATTTTTAATTGTACCACATCTGGCTTTTAAGTATTAACCTACACAAGGGAACAGTTACATCACACCGTCACATGACCGGACAGCTAGTTTTGTTACCTACCATACTCAGAGTAGTATGGCAGTATTTTTAGCTTGGAGAAATCCTCCAATGATAGACCTCTACAATCGGGCTAACTGATAAATTCCAGTCCCTATTGTAATTTTATAATTTTAGCAGCTTATCAGATATCTTCATTTTACGGCCCAGTAGCGAACACCTGACAACCCGCATGACAAAATGACTTAAACTATTTTCATGGTGAATAGTTTAATAACCGACTAAATCCTTTCAGAATGCTGGCATATGTATTCAGATTTATATATTTAAGATGAGAAGAACAAAATTAATGATAAACAGTTTTAGTAAATACCAATGAAACAAAAAAAGAGGTTAAAAATGGCTGTTGTAAACTGAGAAGACTTGGTACAGGCTGGTGTGGGCTGATCACCTGGTCTCCTGCCAAACATAGCTGGCCTTTGACCGATTCTAGATTAATACACTGTACATAACGTATGGAATGTAATTAAAACGATTGTTTATCAGAATTTGATCAAGCTTTGGACATTTGATCCTCTCTAGGTGTACAAGGTTAGGTAAACAGTTCTACCTTAAGCTGGGTAATCTATAAGCATCTACTATATATATATATATATACCTCACGTTAATGAAATATTATGCAATTATCTTTATGTTTTTATTTCTAATTTTAAATCTGCGTTCAATGGATTTATTAAACTGTAGTTGTAACCAAATATATTTACTCTATATTAAATTGTATTATCTCCAACTCAATCAATTAAAAATGATCAGAAACTTGCATCCCTCAATATATATGTAATGCGACTTCTGAGATTTAACTGTGTTAAAATGAGGCCTTCTGGGTTCAATAAATGTATATTTGAATCAGACTTATTCTGCATGAAAGCTACATTAATAAATAAACTTTAAAATCTGTGCTAAATTTAGATTTGGACAGACTACAAGTAGTTAATTAGTGAACAGGAAAGGGAGCAGCATGCTTCCACTGGGAATTGTGACCCGGCTACCTGGCTACCCGGTAACACAGAGTTCAAACCTAGGTTAGTATAGGGTTTGTTTGGGAGCAAACACATTTAAAATGGAGGGGTAATGTGATAGGTTTTCATTTTACATTAGATTACAGCTACCTTCTAAGTTTTGTCTTGGAGGGAATTTTCCTCTAGCTCAATTGGTAGAGTGATGGAATACTGGGAGGGCGATGGACACCGTTTGCAGAGTATTTCTGGGGACTTTTAAGGACAAATAATGGGCCCCATTCCCAATTAAAACTTTCATATTTATGCCTCATTCCCAAAATTTGCAGTTTACTCCTGAGAATTTCCTTCCCAATTGGTATACTATATTTCTTCCCAAAATCAGACAAAAAAGGCCCCATCCCAAAGAAATGAAAAAAAGCACTGATTTGTAACAGGAAAGAGAGCAGTGTGTTTCCTCCGGGAATCGAAACAGCAACCTTCGGCTTTCCAATCTGCCACTAAACTGATTGAGCTGAAAAGGGAAATTCCTTACAGTATGTAGCTAGAAAGTGACCACAATCCTATGTACAATTAAAACAGGTGCCACAATCGGGTTAACATCAATTGAAAGAATATGCTTTCAGAAAATTTCCTGTTACAAATATTTTTTGTGTCCAGAAACAATGACCTAACACCTAGTATACTATAGCTCTGATTGTGTTCTGTCTGAAGTTACTGCCTCTTCAAACTTGGAAATGAGCTGGTGTTTATCTAATATTATATCAGACATTCTGAATGACCAGATAATCACTTGCAATTTTTTTCTAAATTTCTTTAGTGGTGAAGATTGTAACAGCAAGGTAGCGTATACCCTTAATAAACATACACCATTTAACTATTAGTGTATAGACCTGCTACCAGGTAAATTCTGTATGTATTTGTATTAGGATATGTACATGCTCAGTAATATTGATTTTCTGTCAATAACTTACCAGTATTGTACACTTCAGTCTCAGGGTAGAGAAAAATAAAAGAATCACAATGAAGTTCTTAATACATCTGTGCTTTAATTTTTTTCATTCAAAGTACACAAATGGTGTTTTACTATGTGCTGTGCATTTATTGATTTTGGCTAGGAATTGACAGACCAAGACCTACATGTACATAACTGTTCCATTTCTAAAGATGAAATCAAACCACAGAGCCTATCCAATAATTGCTATTAAGGATGTCTTAACTAGACTAATAGAGAATGGTCGATACAACTACCTACCTTCTACACTAGCTCCTCAAAGGTTGTATTAGTTATGGATAGCCCTTACTGAAAGTATCGGTTGTCTGCATTAAAATTTACTGCATTTTTGTTTGTGAATTAAAATTGGAAAAAAATCAGAATTACGAAAATACTATAGCAATCCACAGATTATAGATTATCAACTCAATTTTATAACAAATTCAGTCAGGTTCTTAGTTCTTTTAAAACTGAAAAAAAGGGTTAGGTTACTGTTGCCTTAGTTTTCACACTTAATCAGTGAATATATTGGCTATGAATGACAACTGCAAATGACAAATTCTATGTAGTGTGTACTACCTTGTAACAATCGATTCATATTGAATTCATCCTTACAGTTCATGTTGACCTTGTCATGTTCAGTTGGCATTACCCGGTAATACTGACTGTGTTGAAGTAAACAGGCCAATATTTTTTTAATATATTATTATCATGGGAAATTAAATTAGTTTATCAAAAATCATTTGTTTAGTTAAAATAAGTGAAGGCATTCTGTACGATTGTTTTAAATGCAGAACAGCCACCTGAGTAACAGTTTTCAGTGTACAAATTTTAAAAGGACAGGGTTTACTGGCCGTCATAAGTTTTAGATCCCTTTTATATCATAGAGCACATGTCATGTTATAGAAAACTATGTTACGAACAACGTCTGATATTTGACCAGATGTTGTGAGTTATCACATCACAATGTAAGTTCACATAAAGGGTGATGTGACGGAAGGTGTTGTGTTGTCACATCACAATGTAAGTTCACATCACCCTTTATGTGAACTTACATGGTGATGTGATAACTCACAACATCTGGTCAAATATCAGACGTTGTGATAACTCACAACGTCTGATATTTGACCAGATGTTGTGAGTTATCGCATCACAATGTAAGTTCACATAAAGGGGGATGTGACAGAGGGTGTTGTGTTGTCACATTACAATGCAAGTTCACATAAAGGGTGATGTGACAGAGAGTGTTGTGTTGTAACATCACAATGTAAGTTCACACAAAGGGTGATGTGACAGAGGGAGTTGTGTTGTAACATCACAATGTAAGTTCACACAAAGGGTGATGTGACAGAGGGTGTTGTATTGTAACATCACAATGTAAGTTCACATAAATGGTGATGTGACAGAGGGTGTTGTGTTGTTACATCACAATGTAAGTTCACATAAAGGATGATGTGACGGAAGGTGTTGTGTTGTCACATCACAATGTAAGTTCACATAAAAGGGGAAGTGACAGAGGGTGTTGTGTTGTAACATCACAATGTAAGTTCACACAAAGGGTGATGTGACAGAGGGAGTTGTGTTGTAACATCACAATGTAAGTTCACATAAATGGTGATGTGACAGAGGGTGTTGTGTTGTTACATCACAATGTAAGTTCACATAAAGGGTGTTGTGACAGAGGGTGTTGTGTTGTCACATATCAATGAAAGTTCACATAAAGGGTGATGCGACAGAGGGTGTTGTGTTGTCACATCAGAATGTAAGTTCACATAAAGGGTGATGTGAAAGAGGGTGTTGTTTTGTCACATCACAATGTAAGTTCACATAAACGGTGATGTGACAGAGTGTGTTGTGTTGTAACATCACAATGTAAGTTCACATAAAGTGTGATGTGACAGAAGGTGTTGTGTTGTCACATCACAATGTAAGTTCACATCACCCTTTATGTGAACTTACATGGTGATGTGATAACTCACAACATCTGGTCAAATATCAGACGTTGTGATAACTCACAACGTCTGATATTTGACCAGATGTTGTGAGTTATCACATCACAATGTAAGTTCACATAAACGGTGATGTGACAGAGTGTGTTGTGTTGTAACATCACAATGTAAGTTCACATAAAGTGTGATGTGACAGAAGGTGTTGTGTTGTCACATCACAATGTAAATTCACATAAAGGGTGATGTGACAGAGGGCGTTGTGTTGTCACATCACAATGTAAGTTCACATGAAGGGTGATGTGACAGAGGGTGTTGTGTTGTTACATCACAATGTAAGTTCACATAAAGGGTGATGTGACAGAGGGTGTTGTGTTGTCACATTTACATTCACTTAGATCACGGAACATATTATACTGTAAGCGTACAGGTTTTAGCAGCATTCCTATTTTAGCACTGTACATGCTTAGAATATGATACTAATTTATAATTGCTCTTATTGATGTTTTTGTGTATAGTTTTTGTGTATAGTTTTCTATTGTATACTATGAGTGTGTCATTTCATCAAAGCGCTAACTTGTTAAAATTTGATAATGCACTAAAATCTGTCTGGTAAAATAAGTAATCTTATAGTATTACTCCTACAGTATTACTTACTGATAAGTAATTATTGTTGACCAGTGAAAAATGCATCATACTATAATACCTGGTACTCACTTTAAAGTTGAACTCCAGAAATGTGCGTTATTATGATATGTATATATTTGTATTTCTCCAGTCTCCCCCCGGACCACCCCCTGGACTACCACCGGGTCTCTCTCCAGCAGAACCTTATAACTTTGACTACAGCCAGGCCCAAGACCAGGAGAACCAATTGCCACCGCAGAGAAACCAGGATTATGAGCCTCAGTACCAGCCCCAGGGATCTCCACCCTACCAGTCCCAACCCCACCAGACACAGGCTCCCTACCAGACCCAGCGGCCCTACCAGACACAGCAGTCCCAACCCCACCAGACACAGCGTCCCTACCAGACACAGCAGTCTCAGCCTCCAGAAGTCCCCGCCCCCCAGACCCAGAGTCCCCAATACCAGCGCCACCCATCTTACGAGCAGCAGTCTCATCCGGTGTATGATCAGCAACAACAGGGCTACAGCCAGCAACCTTCCTATGAGGCAGAGCCCAAGCATCAGTCACCCAATCCATACCCCAAGATCCCACCCATATCGGCAGGCACAGAGGATCGGTTCGCAACCGGTCCAATCCGTGTGGAGCTAGAGGGGTACTCAGCAATTCACCAGAAGAATCGACAGAAGGACCCTAATGAGCAGCCCTGGTATCAGGTGTATACACTGAGCGACTACAAGAAGCTAAAAAAGGAGATGGACGCTGGCCGAGGGCCACTGGGTCCTGACATGGAGAATGAAACCTTCAAGGAAAAGGTAGGTACTAATGGCCCTATATAGCTAATGGCACTTATTGGTCTGTAGTATTGGTATTCAACAACATCAATTTTGAAAAAAATATACAAAAGTTTTTGAAAATGAGAAAATGCTGTTGTGTTAAACGCAGATTATATTGAATATCCCTGAAAAACACATAAAAGAATAAATATTGTGGTGAGTAGAGAAATGGTATGATGTAGAAGTAAACCACATTCAACCCACTAAGCAGTTAAAATAACGTCGTGGTACCACACACACACAAATGGTATTCTTTTTTTTCTTTTTTTTCAGAACAGTATTTTCTTGGTATTATGTATAATTTACAATTGTCTGAGTGTTATTAGTACAGTTTCTTGTGTACTTGATGTGTTTTCAGTCTCAGCAAATTTCATTGACAAATAGTTAGATAAAATATCAGGTTTATCTGGTAAAAGGAAGAAATGGAAATCGTGTTATACAGGAAGATTTTTATACTTGCACATTTTTATAATCAGATGCTTTTCTTTCATGGTTGAAAAGTTTATAATGATATGCCAATTAAATTGATGATGCTTTATACCGCTATGGGGCAAGAGAATATTCAATTCCAGAGTTTCTATCGTCATTGTCCATAAGTTCTTCACCCTTTTCCCAGCTAGGAATTGATTACATTCAGCTCCGCAGAGAAATCCGCACTTTTACCGGTGTGAGATTTCCTTGTCTCACCCTAGGGTTGAGACGGGGGGGGATTCCCCTTTTCATAACAATGGCATGACGTCACTTCAACAATACAATGATGTCACGTCAAGAATCCATCATACATGATACACAATGATAAAACAGGGTATGAGAAAAAGAATCATTCACCCCCTTGTGGGTGAGATAGGGGAATCCCAACCATCGGGGAAAGATTCTTAAGTTGCCAAACACTCGACAAAGCCTCGTGTTTGGCAACTTAACAATCTTTCCCCTCGGGTTGAGATTCTCCTATCTCACCCCCAAGGGGATGAATGATTCTATTAGTCTCCTAGCTCCCAGCTGCACATGAAGTGGATGTTGTTTTTGAAGTTTTGTAGTGTCATTAAGCTATATCAACGTAAATGTTAAAATTCTCATATTGCACAGCCCTGTATGGCATACTTAGTACCATTTATATTGAGTCCATGGGTGTCACTTTACTAATAGTATACTGTATAACATGAAATGTTTGTTATGTATAAACATTTGTGGTTTTCGTGGTTGATATTGAACCATGAAAATAAATAGAATGATTTTGAATTGTATACTGTTTGTTAATATGGGATATACACGAAAGTTTGTACCACGGAATAATCTAAATGGCTTCAAACCACGAAGGAAAATACCCATGAACATTTTGTTATACAGCAATCAGAATCCTGTAACTTGACTGTGGTTATCCTGATCCTGTAACTTGACTGTTATCCTGATCTTTGTTTATGTTCACAGCTTGAGAAGAAACACAAGCAGAATGAGTATGCACGACTAGTGATGGAGCGAAACCGACAGGAATTGCTCGATCGTAAACCCGTTCAGCGTCGTCAGCCATCACATGACCAGCGGGAAGAGAACAAACGGCGCGCTGTAAGTCAGTCTCTGGTCTACGACAGCTACCTCGAATCGCCCATGTCCGAATCCCCCAGCAAACACATCCATCAGGCCCTCAACTCCACCTCGGCCCCTGGGCGTCTGGCCAAGACACGGCCCCGGGGCGACGCCAATAGGCGCCAACTTGTAAGTCAGGTGTGACCTGTCCATTGATATGTGTGCAGCGTTGTTGTGGTTATTGGTGGAATGTTAACAGTGTTTTGTGTTGAAGAGTTGTTTGTTCGTGCTTGTTTACTTGTTTGTTGATGTTGTAGGAATGCTGTGATTGGTTGGTATCTTTGCTGATTAACATTTTGTCATGGCGTTACAAGGCTGTTTGACGATATTGACTTACAGTGTACTGATGTCTGGAAATAGTTCTGAAGGTTCACCTGGTTGTTCATATACAAAACAAAAAGTTTAATAATTCAAAACCCTGACATGAAATGAATAGTTGTAATTTTGTACAAGGGCAAGTGAGCTTATGCCGTGGTGAAGCATCCGGGGGTCATAATCTGTCCGTCAACTTTTCCTTTAAAAGACTACTAGTCCTGAACGGCTTAGTGGATTTTGACTAAATTCGATCTGGAGCACCTTTGGGCCAAGGACACTCAATTTTGTATAGTCGGTGGGTGTGACCCCCCCCCCCTGGGAGCATTTCTTCTTCTACCATAGGGATTAAGGGATTTCATCTTAATTTGGTCTAGAACATCCTTAGGCCAAGGGCACTCAATTTTGTATAAACGGTTGGTGTGACCCCTCCCCCAACCCCTGCCTGGGAGCAGAGAAGAGGGGCCAAAAAGGGGAAATAGAGGTAAAACCTTTAAAATCCTTTTTCTACCATAGGGATTAAGGGATTTTCTCCTTATTTAGTCTGTAGCATCCTTTGTCCAAAGGGACTAAATTTTGTATAAACAGTGGTTGTGGCCCCCCTGGGGGCAGAGAGGTGGGGCCGAATAGGGGAAATAGAGGTAAACCTTTAAAACTCTTCTTCTACCATAGGGGTTAAGGGATTCTATCCCAATTTGGTTAAGAACACCCTTAGTCCAAGGGCACTCAATTTTGAAAAAACGGTTAGTGTGACCCCCTTGGGGCAGAGGGGCGGGCTCAATAGGGGAAATAGAATTAAGACCTTTGAAACATTTATTTCTACTATAGGGATTACAGGATTTTATCCCAATTTTGTCTCCATCCAGTTGTCTAGTGGTGCCTGTTACTATTAGGGTGTATTCATTAGAACAAGATCGCCACCAGGCCGCCATCTTGGATTTTGATATTTGAAGGTTGTTCTCGCTTTATCTCCAGAAATACTGGATGAATCTTTTTGAAATTTCATATATACCATGGAGTGCTATTTCTCTCATTTCCATGTGTATAAGATAGAGCTGTCCAGGGTAAAGAAGGGGTGTAGGAAATTTCTATCTTACATCCCATTTCGTGTGATGTGACGTCACAATGACTCAACAATAATGTGATGTCATGAATTTGGAAAAATTCTGATGCCGCAATGCGGAAAAGGCGACGTGATGAAATGAAAACCTTTTACGAAATATTTACCTTTGTACGTAAGAAAGATGAGATATTTTTTCTGCGCAAACTCTGTTTGCATATATGGGGTATGCTTGTGTTAGTCTTGCTGACAGATTTGTTTTCGTATAAAAAGCTAAGGGGAAAATTTTGATATTTTTAAAATGGTAGCCAGTTCAATCGCCTTTTTATGGTTTATTAGTTTATTTTGGTAGAAGGAATGAGAGAAAAATACTCTTTCAAGCCCAAAGGTGTAGGATAGGGAAGTTCCACCCGAGGGGTTTACAAAGTTAGTAAAACCCGAGGCTTCAAAGGGTCTTATAATCTTTACTTCATAACAAGTACTTAAAACATATCCAGGTGAATGATACAGGCCATTTAGGCCTCTTATTGAATATATTGTTTGTAATGTTACAATAGAAAATTTAAATAGAGACTAGAGTATGTACCGAGGTATGAAAAGATATGATGATTGATCTGTTTTTAAATATGTATATATAAATAAAAATCCTGTATCGGGTAATTGTGCGGAACTCTTGTATCACAAAGTCAGTCATCTGATGATCACATTTAAATATTCCATTGTTATTTGTTGTTTTCTGTTTGAACGTTCACTAAGTTGTTGCTGTGTTATGGATGTGTTATGTGTTTTTCTGTTGTAACATTAACGTGTGATGATGTCAGCATGGATATAAGATATCAGGAGAAGTCGTTTGTATTGTCCTGAACGATTTATATATCAACTTTGGTTGATAATGAAATGTTGAAGTTTGTTGGGGATCAGAGCCTCCTGGAGGATTACTGTTAGTTTGGTGGAGGTAGAAGTTTAGTTACAATGATACTGTTACTGATTTGACAGTGTAACGTGTTGGTATATCAGAGCCTCCTGGAGGATTACTGTTAGTTTCGTGGAGGTAGAAGTTAAGGTACAATGATACCGTTGCTAATTTGACAGTGTAACGTGTTGGTATATCAGAGCCTCCGGGAGGATTACTGTTAGTTTGGTGGTGGTAGAAGTTTAGGTACAATGATACTGTTACTAATTTGACAGTGTGACGTTAGCTGGCAGAGCCTCCTGGAGGATAAACATTTGTACTGTCTGGGTTGTAACGGTTGGTCATAGTTCTGTATGGACAGTTAATGGGTCAGTGTCAGTACTGTCTGGGTTGTAACGGTTGGTTGTAGTTCTGTATGGGCAGTTAATGGTTCAGTGTCAGTACTGTCTGGGGTTGTAACGGTTGGTCGTAGTTCTATATGGACAGTTAATGGTTCAGTGTGAGTACTGTCTGGGGTTGTAATGGTTGGTCGTAGTTCTGTATGGACAGTTAATGGTTCATTGTCAGTACTGTCTGGGTTGTAACGGTTGGTCGTAGGTCTGTATGGACAGTCAATGGACAGGTCACACCGAACAAGTTCTCCCAATTTAAAAATGAAATGGTCACAATAATTCTGAAGAATAAATAAACTTTTTGGAAGTATAGACCTTTTGAAATTATTCAACCTTATGGACAGTTAATGGTTCAGTGTCAGTACTGTCTGGCATGTAACTGTTGGTCGTAGTTCTGTATGGACAGTTAATTGTTCAGTGTCAGTACTGTCTGGGGGTGTAACGGTTGGTCGTAGTTCTATATGGACAGTTAATGGTTCAGTGTGAGTACTGTCTGGGGTTGTAATGGTTGGTCGTAGTTCTGTATGTACAGTTAATGGTTCAATGTCAGTACTGTCTGGGATGGAACGGATGGTCGTAGTTCTGTATGGACAGTTCTTGGTTCAGTGTCAGTACTGTCTGGGTTGTAACGGGTGGTCGTAGTTCTGTATGGACAGTTAATGGTACAGTGTGAGTACTGTCTGGGTTGTAACGGTTGGTCGTAGGTCTGTATGGACAGTCAATGGACAGGTCACACCGAACAAGTTCTCCCAATTTAAAAATGAAATGGTCACAATAATTCTGAAGAATAAATAAACTTTTTGGAAGTATAGACCTTTTGAAATTATTCAACCTTATGGACAGTTAATGGTTCAGTGTCAGTACTGTGTGGGTTGTAATGGTTGGTCGTAGTTCTGTATGGACAGTTAATGGTACAGTGTGAGTACTGTCTGGGTTGTAACGGTTGGTGGTAGTTCTGTATGGACAGCTAATGGTTCAGTGTCAGTACTGTCTGGGATGTAATGGTTGGTGGTAGTTCTGTATGGACAGTCAATGGACAGGGCACACCGAACAAGTTCTCCCAATTTAAAAATGAAATGGTCACAATAATTCTGAAGAATAAATAAACTTTTTGGAAGTATAGACCTTTTGAAATTATTCAACCTTATGGACAGTTAATGGTTCAGTGTCAGTACTGTTTGGGTTGTAACGGTTGGTCGTAGTTCTGTATGGACCGTTAATGGTTCAGTGTCAGTACTGTCTGGGGGTGTAACGGTTGGTCGTAGTTCTATATGGACAGTTAATGGTTTAGTGTGAGTACTGTCTGGGGTTGTAATGGGTGGTCGTAGTTCTGTATGGACAGTTAATGGTTCAATGTCAGTACTGTCTGGGATGGAACGGATGGTCGTAGTTCTGTATGGACAGTTCTTGGTTCAGTGTCAGTACTGTCTGGGTTGTAACGGTTGGTTGTAGTTCTGTATGGGCAGTTAATGGTTCAGTGTGAGTACTGTCTGGGTCGTAACGGTTGGTGGTAGTTCTGTATGGACCGTTAATGGTTCAGTGTCAGTACTGTCTGGCATGTAACTGTTGGTCGTAGTTCTGTATGGACAGTTAATTGTTCAGTGTCAGTACTGTCTGGGGTTGTAACGGTTGGTCGTAGTTCTGTATGGACAGTCAATGGACAGGTCACACCGAACAAGTTCTCCCAATTTAAAAATGAAATGGTCACAATAATTCTGAAGAATAAATAAACTTTTTGGAAGTATAGACCTTTTGAAATTATTCAACCTGATGATTATTTAAGGTATATTTATAGAACCTACCAGAAATTGTGATATATTTGGTCCATCTGTAGCATTGTGAAATATAAGCAATAATCTTTTTTAGAAAACAAATTATCATTAAGGTTAATAACTCCCTTGTAACACATGAACCATATTCTGTGGAGGGGGCAGATTTTTGAACTTTCCTGGTAAGTAATGAAGGGAATAGTGGTACTAATAGCATGCTGCTACCAATATAACCGTTTAATATACTGATCTCGCAAACAATTGCTCAATCGATCAACAGGGGGTATTCACTGAAAATAATATGTCTTTGGGAAAACTGCTGAAATATCAATTATTGTTAACAAAATTGTATTGCTTTTCATTTTTTGCATAATGTGAATAAATTGATGAACTGTTTTGAAAGGTAGAGTGAGAGATAAAATATCAAAATATCTCCCAAAGTATATAATAAATAAATGTTACCACTGTTTAACAATTTAGAGAACATGATCCTTTTTGGCAATGTATCAGTATGTAAAGCTTTATATCTATAAATGTGGATATTATGTTATACTTCATGGTTAGAAAATAAAATTAAGCTTTTATGAGTAACCTGTCACCTGTACTAATTTATTATATTTTTCCTAAACAGGCCCTAGATTACGCCAAAAATGTTCCAAAACCAGTTGTGAAGGCAAAACCTTCACAGTACAACTCATATGAAGTCTCCTCCCAGTTGTCTCCCTTGAATAAGAAAGGCAACCAATCACCTGTGAAGACGCAGCCCCCCATAGAAGTGGTAGACCTCAACAAACTTCAGCAGCGACACGAGGAGGAGAAACAAAATGTAGCCATGATTAAGCAAAACATTCCCCAGAAAGTGTGACACAGAGAATGATGATACATGTTAACTGTAGGTCGTGCGATTGTAGAATGCTAAAGTTTTGTCTGATCAAATTTTCGCCCTTTAGCTTTTTAAAACAATTTGTTCTGTGTTGAAATATACGCACCAATATATATTGCCACAACTTACAATATGTATATATTTATTGTGTTTTGAGTCCTGTTACATTTGTTTAAAAGCAAAAAGTGGTGAAAAAGGAAAGGGAACAAAAATGTAGTGTTTGGCTGTTGTTATGGAAGTGCTAAGGTATGTTACCCTGTATGAGTGTTATGTGTGGCTCCACAACTGTCGGAGGTCGTACTAAACAATTCCTATAAAGTCTGATATTGAAGTGATTTAATGGGACCATGCTCCTATTGAACAATGAATGTGCGATAGTCGCTGAAAATTTGACCAATAGCCTTGTTTTCTCAGACGAGAACAATTTATTGCACATAAGGTCTACAAAATGTGATAAGTATATTGGTATCTTCCATAAGATTTGTCAGTTTGGTAAGATGTGATATCAAAGTTTTACTTTTTACACAAACTTTGTACATATTAAACGTGTCGCAACGTTTGTAGACCGACTGGTCCCTTTGTCAAGCTGGGACTGAGTGAGCGATTTGTATTATTTACCTGTTCAATGATGGTGTGGTGAAATTGTATATTTTTCATGTCACTCGACCCAAGACGAATCGCCTATCGATAGGGATGTATACACACTGCATCAGATAGGTATTGAATTTTTGACATTAAGTTTGTTTAGTGGGACCAAGCGCACACAAAAATAAGATGTGATAGTGTTTGAACATTCCACAGAGTAATAAACTACAGGTAGTGATGGTGTTGACTTGTACAAAACATCCTGTATCATAGTAACGGAGATAGCACACCACAACCTTCATCCTTATAAATGTGGGGTAATTATGAAACATATACATCTTGGTCAGAGGTTTATCAGAAATCAACAATGAAGTCAGGTCAATTTTAAAAATGATTCAAACACTCATTCTACATCAAGTTTAATGGTTTAGAACTTTCTCTGTGATGTCCTGTGTGGTGTTGACTGGCACACACTTGTTTTACCAGAATGCTTGTAGAACATTTTTGAAATTCAATGTCCCATAACATTACACATAGTGTTTATGAAGTGCTATCTGTGGTTGTATGGTCAGTCAGGACGATGTTTGGTCAACACAGTGCTACATCTAGTATGGTCAGTCAGGACAATGTTTGGTCAACACAGTGCTAGTATGGTCAGTCAGGACGATGTTTGGTAAACACAGTGGTTGTATGGTAAGTCAGGACGATGTTTGGTAAACACAGTGGTTGTATGGTCAGTGAGGACGATGTTTGGTCAACACAGAGGTTGTATGGTCAGTCAGGCCGATGTTTGGTCAACACAGGGCTAGTATGGTCAGTCAGGATGATGTTTGGTCAACACAGTGATACATCTAGTATGGTCAGTCAGGACGATGTTTGGTCAACACAGTGCTAGTATGGCGAGTTCTGTGATAATGTTTGGTTAGGTTAATACAATATAATATGAAGTGTGAAGTTTTCGTTGGAGTGCTGGTTAATTGAGTCGAGAGATTTTACCAGTCCTTATGTCAGTTTTTGAACTAAATGAAATTATTTTGTCCTGACAATGCCTTTTTTTGTTTAAAGTCGGTAATATTGATTAGTCTACACAGGTTGTTTCTGCCGATATTATTTTCAAGTGTTTCTGCAGCAAATCTGTGATTTCCAAATTTCTATGCCTTGAAGTGTCACAGTACCTGACAGGAATTGTTCAGTCCTGTTAAGTTTGTAGAATCACCATATGGAGAAAAAACTGCTCCAAAATTTAACACTGTACAGTGTAATCAGAATAAAGGAAAAAAAAAGATTTCCTGTTAAACAACATAATGACTATTTCTAAAGGAGTTCTCCTTCATTTTATGTTTGATTAAATTTCAATTGAAAAATAAATATAAAAAAATCAGTATGCATCTAAAAATACTTCTGACCAATATCAAAATTTGCTCCAGATAAGATAGAGATATAGCAAGACAATCAATGTTTATAGAATTATGTATTAAAGGATATATTTGATATTATAATGTATTACCTAGGCATAAGTGAACAACAGTAAAATACAAATAAAATATTTAATATAGTATTTAGCGGTGAAACTTTCATAGATTAAAACATTCATGGTTTAAACATTTTGGCACAGTTTTGTTAAAGTCCATACAGTAAACCTGAAGGGAAACAAACTCACGCTGTGTTATATATCTCACACATTGTTCACGCTGTGTTATATATCTCACACATTGTTCACGCTGTGTTATATATCTCACACATTGTTCACGCTGTGTTATATATCTCACACATTGTTCACGCTGTGTGATATATCTCACACATTGTTCACGGTGTGAGATATATCTCACACATTGTTCACGGTGTGTTATATATCTCACACATTGTTCGCGCTGTGTTATATATCTCACTCATTGTTCATGCTGTGTTATGTATCTCTCTAATTGTTCACGCTGTGTTATATATCTCACATATTGTTCACGCTGTGTTATATATCTCACATTGTTCATGCTGTGTTATATATCTCACACATTGTTCACGGTATGTTATATATCTCACACATTGTTCACGCTGTGAGATATATCTCACACATTGTTCACGGTGAGTTATATATCTCACACATTGTTCACGCTGTGGTATATATCTCACACATTGTTCACGCTGTGTTATGTATCTCACACATTGTTCACGCTGTGTTATATGTCTCACACATTGTTCGCGCTGTGTTATATATCTCACTCATTGTTCATGCTGTGTTATGTATCTCACTAATTGTTCACGCTGTGTTATATATCTCACACATTGTTCACGCTGTGTTATATATCTCACACATTGTTCATGCTGTGTTATATATCTCACACTGTTCACGCTGTGTTATATATCTAGCACATTGTTCACGCTGTGTTATATATCTCACACCTTGTTCACGCTGTGTTATATATCTCACACATTGTTCACGCTGTGTTATATATCTCACACATTGTTCACGCTGTGTTATATATCTCACACATTGTTCACGCTGTGGGTACTAATGATTGTAGACAAAAGTCCGGTCAAATATATAACACTGTACATCAATGAAGCTTGTATTGGTGGATGAAGTCAAAAACATTGTCTCCTCTGAATGTTCACATGGCACTTCACACTGGACATGGGAATGAATGAGAAGTCCTCATATGCTTCATTTGCTCACAGATCTAAATAATTTACTGTTTATCCTGTTGTGTTTAAGACTTTTTATATATATTTATATCTATGTATTAGTTAGTGCCAAATTTATTGTAGTTCTGTTCATGGAGGTATATATTTAGGTCTTTGTATATTATAAATTATTTATTTTTAGTTAGTACCACATAGCTATGCAAACTCCCTTAGAGCTTATAAGTAATGTTATATTTCACAAGATTTATCATCCAAATTCTGTATTTATTACTCACATGAACAATTAACATAAATAGACACATGTATCCCCATATGTCACCTGATCATTTCTATAATGATCACTTTGCGATTCAACATACATTTGTTTGTCGTCACATTGGCTAGGAATTAATAGTAACTTTTTGGTAACTGAAGATTACCTGACCACAGAGCCTCATTTTGGAGCCGGTAACTAACTTTATCTGTCGCAACTTGTAATCATTTACCTCAAACAGGAACATCCGCATTTGTTTCTCTCATCCATCACTATCTGTACTTTCGAAGAAGCATTTATATATAGCAGAGCCGTATATATTACCTATATATGTCTCTGTCTATAGTTTGTCTCAGTTATTTATAATCATGTTGGAAAGGCCAGAATTCTTGACTTATTAAATATTGGCAAATATGTATAAGTGCAGCTTAGCAGATCTAGTTCTGTTGGACTTTGTTGCTCTGATAGCATCACCTGTACAAAGCTTTGTTTAGCAGAAGGAAAAGATGTCTGGTGATATAAGGGAGAGAACTCCAGACAAAACTCCTATTTGTACATATTTGTGATTTTTCTCATTCCACTGTCTGTGATATTTAACTGTACATAGGTTATCAATACGGTCCAGTGATCTTATATATAAAAGATTTATTTTACATTTCATGTATGAGTTGGGCATAATTAATTTCATCGAAAGTTTTCAAAATATTTTTTGGGATCCTTAGTTATGATGTAGATTATTTTTTCCGTCCAATTATTTTCTTCTTTGCTACAGTGAAACCTGTCTTAAAAAACACCACTGAGATCGCGTTTCTGCTGTGTAGGATTAACACAAGATTTAACATTTTATAACCTGCATGTAGAAGTTAATGATTAACTAGTATCAGCAAATTGTCTGATTTATACAGGTTTCCATACAATGCAGTTTCAGTTGACAAAGGAATGTGCCCAGTGGCATTAAAATCAAGATCTGATTTGACAGGTTTTTGTTTTCTACAGGGTTTGATTTAGGCAGTTTTCAGTGTTCGTTCCTACGTAGAAATAAAAACACATGTACATATCGTTAAGCAGAAAATTATTATCAATTTTTGTAATAATTATATACGCTTCCTTGTTGATTGTGATATATGAAATTTGTCCAACAAAACACTTTATATAAGTATGTATCAGTTAGATTTTTATACCGTAGAGGTGTCTGATGACCAGAGCTCACACTACAGTGTGTGATATGATCAAGGTCACATTAAAGTTTGATGTATGTATTAGACACGCACCAGTGTGTAAATACAGCGTTGCCGTGAATCCGTCCAAAATAATATGTAGTGATGTTCACCTGATTTCCGTAGTTCCTAGTGAGAGGACTTGTTGTGATAAATGTTAATACACCACAGTGACTGCTCCACCTGGTAGGCATGGGGTTGTATGTGTACCGGAAACTTATAAACAGACGCCATTAGCTGTGATATTGTTTTTGTGAATTTGTTGGTTTGAACTAACTTTTTGTTTCTTGTCTTTTAATTTTGTTGAATGATATATTCAATAAGAAAATTGATTTTATTTCTCGTGAAGGATATTTGATCACCAGATGGATTTATTTTTAGTTGTTAGTGTATATTAAGTTAAACAGAAGTGAATGCTTGGTGACTGTCAGCAATTATTTGTCACATTTTTTATGAGGATTTTCTTTATCATTATAAATAACCATTTTCATATACCATTATCAGAAATGCTATTTTTGTAATGTCATATATCTAAAGCTCAAAATTATTGTACATCTGCTTTTATAGAACTGTAAGTAAGGAAAGGGTAGAACTTCACTGATATTTCACAATATTTATATTTATTTATATGTGTATGTAGACCCATCACGTTAGTATTGTGAGAAGGGAGATAACTCTGGTCCATAGGTAACATTCAATACAGAAAATTGGTAAAAAAACAGATTTTAACAAATAATTTCTCATTCAGTATCCTGAAAGATATCTGAAAACAACAAAGATTTATTGTTTTAACAATGTTTTTTCAGTATATATGATAAACAAATAAAAAGCAATTCTGAGGAGAGATTTACAAGGTTTATAGTATAATCAATC